CATCCATCCATCCATCCACCTCCTCCTCTGGGCCCAGCCCTGTGCTGTGATGTGGAAGCCTTGACATCTGACCCATAGGAATCTTTTTAGAGGTCAGGATCAGATGAAGAACCCATCTTCCAATCTTGACAGTCCCCACTCTTACCCCTTGTCCTGCTTCACCCCAAACATCCTTCATTCAGAGTGAGCTTTCACAAACTAGACTGCTTATCCTGCCTAAAAGTCATGCATCCCATCCTTAGTGACCTCAGAAGAAAGAGCCGGCCCCGTAGAGCGGCAGACATGGTTCTTTATGACTCTCTCGCTGCTTGTTGCATCAAGTGCCACTCTTGTGCATGTCTCCTTCCTGGGGTGCCCGCCTTCTGCTTTCTCCTACCCCTTTGTCTACCTGCCAGCCCTATACTATCTCCCAAGACCCACTCTGGTGTTCCAGATACATCTATATATACTTCAACTATGGAACTAATCCCACTGCTAACTCATTGGGTGACGTGAGTTTACTAGACTTGCACCGTCTCTAGGCTGAGGGCTCCTTGAGAACAGAGGCTCTGTCCTGCTCAGTATTATGCCCCTGGCCGACCACAGGTGGAGTGAATGAACCATGGAAAAGGGGGGATGTGCACTTTAGGTCTCTCAGCCCGGCTCAAGAAGGGTCCTTGGCCCTCAGTTGCCAGGGCAATCTTCCTCACACATGGTCTTCATCATCCTGTTTCCTATGTTTTCCTCTTCACTCATTAAAAAAAATGAACAAATGCCTTCTACACGCCAGGTTGTCTTAGGTGCTGGGAAAATGACCACACTAGTAGCTACCACTCATACAGCGCTCACTGAATCGTGGGTAGTGCTCTAAGGATTTTCCGTATGCTCACCTATAGCATCCTCATAAAACCCACATAAGGGTTTCTCCTATCCTCATTTTACAGACGAGGGCAATTTTCCCCCAGTTCACACCTCTTGTTGGGAATCCTCAAAGGCTCCCCGGAATGGCTGCATCCATTCTCAACGCCTCGTCTTCCTCTCCCAGCCTTGGCAGTCATTGCTCATCAACGTAAACCTCGGAATTCTCAGACCAGACTCTTCCTTTCTCATCACGCCCTTCTTCCCTCCCCTCAGCCCCCCTCCCCGCCCAGAAACCCGGAGAATAAGATGGTGGCTTGTTCTGTGACCAAGCAAATGGTACAGAGTGGGTGGTCAGCAATGGTCACCAGATCCATGACGTTTCCAGGTCTTTATCAACCCAAATTGGACCTTTCCTAAATTCTTAGATTCGGCTTTACATCCTGCCTGTGAGGTGAGCGCTCCCAGACAAACTTCTGCACTGCATCAATCAGCAGGTGCCGGTCTCCTGTCCCCTGTCCCCTGGTGGCCGGGGATCCTCTGCGAGGGGAGACCACATCTTCTATTCCTCGGATGGCACAAGGAGCAACAGACCTTGCTGTGGTCCCATGACATCAATGATCACCACAGTAGGAACAGTAGCAATTACCACTACCGAGTAATAGTACTCTCAGCCACCACCAAGAGTAATCCTGACACCAGCCACCACTACAGGAGTAATGTCAGTCACCCTGTAATCATACCAGCTATCGCCACAGTAGTAACAATACTATCAGCCCCCACCACAAGAGGAATAATAATCAATCACCACCACAGCGGTAATAACAGCTATTACCAGAGGAGTAATTATAGTATCAGTCACCACCACTGTAGCAATAATAATATGAACAATCACCCCAGCAATAATAATATCCACTACCACCAAAGTAGTAATAATATCAGTTACCACCACGGTGGTAATCGTACTTACTATCAGCTATCACAGCAGTAGCGACAACACCACTACCAACACTAAGGCAGCTGCTTCCCAGGTAAGTCTGACTCACGGTGACTCCACTTATGCCGGGAAGAAGTGCTTGGGTAAGTTTTTCATGGCTATGGCGGTGCCAAACCAGACCGCCCCATCTGTTTTCCAAGTACCTCCGGGTGGGGTTGAACTTTTGGTCAGTAGCCAGCACTTCATCACTGGTTTCCCTCAGGGACACTTTGGTCGCAATAATGTCAATAACTACCACATTCGTATAATCCGCTGCCGCCATCGTTTTAATGGCATTCTTACCGTGTGCACACTAAGCCTCACAGGTATGATTTCATTTAGCCCTCATCCAACGCTGTATGAGAAACAACAGACCAGCGATTACTCTGATTTGAACATGACGTCTCTGAGGAACAGAGAGTTTGAATAACTTGCCAAGAGCACACAGCCACTGGGGCGGGGGGCCGCTCTGCCCAATCCCCTCTTGTTGTTTTCAGTTGCTGTTGAGTTGGCCCTCAACTGAGGGCCACCCACTGCACTGCGGGTTTTCATAGGCAGAATTCTCAAAGTAGATCGCCAGGTTTTTCTTCCTAGTCTTAGGCTGAAAGTGCTGCTGAAATCTCTTCAGCAGGATAGCAACGGGCAAGCTTCCTCTGCCAGATGCATGGTGGCCGAGCTTGAGGTGTCCTGGCTGGGGATCAAACTTGGGGGGTGGTGGTGGGGCTCCAGCATGGAAGGAGGTGAGTTTTCTACCCTCTCAAACAACAGTTGGATGCAGTGTAAACTGTGCTCCAGCCATGGTTGGGAACTGAAACTTCGAACAAGAGAGCAATGGACTTGCTGTAACATTCTGTTAAGTTTCGAATCTCAGTATAGAGCACTTGTGGGAGAAAAGGGGGTGGTGAGTTGGTGAGACAATCAGATTGGTAAATTGATTACCGTATATACTCGAGTATAAGCTGACCCAAATACCAGCCGAGGCACCTAATTTTACCACAAAAGCTGCATAAGAAATGTGCTGAAAAACTCAGCTTATACACGAGTATATACGGTAAAGGCTCCTAACCCTGTGATTTTGTGCATAGAGAACACTGTGCTGTGGAAAATAACTATTCTTAGGTTTTCATCATAACTGGGCTGTTCAGGTTGCCCAGAGGGAAAGAACAGTCCTAATTCTAATAAAATAAATTTTTATCTTGTTTAAAAACCAAATCAAAGCCTCACAGCCATCAAGCGGATGCCAAGTCATCGTGGCCCTATATGCCAGGGTAGAGCGGTCCCCGTGGGTTTCCTAGATACAGGAATGGAGAGCCTCGGCTTTCTCCTCTGGAGCTGCTGGTGGTTTTGAACTGCTGCCCTTGTGGTTAGCAGCCCAATGTGTAGGCCACCAGGGCTCTGTAATTTCTACCATCACTGTCCCTGCATTCCCTCTTAGCAAATCCTGACAAATGAGTCATTCCACCTCCTGCACCTCGATCTCTTTCTCTGATTTGCCGCAATCGGAGGCACAGGACTTTCAAAAGCCCTTTGCCTGAACAGCAGCCTGACAGATGCTGCTCTCTCCGTTCCCCGCTCAGGGCGCACAACTGCAATTACGAACGAGGACTGTGGTGTACGAAGAGCATGCAACGCCACACGTTCTCACTTGGTATTAGAAAGGCCCATGCTTCACGGGCTGATAGTCAAATAAATATTGTTCTCTGACTTCCATCCAGCTCTTTGGCCCAACTGTTCTCCCGCCCTCCCCCTGGCCTGGAAAAATATTGGTTTTCACATTCACAAGGGCACACACAGCCTGCTGCAAGGAGCTGCGCTGTAATTATTCAAATTCCGGGCTGGGCTTTTGTGGGCTGGAGTTCAGCCCCGGCAGCACTTGTTTTATGGGTGGCCAAGCGCATCTGGAACCGGAAGCCCAGCCGGGTGCACTCATCAAGCTTGTAGTGGTGCTCAGACAGCTGGGGTGGGGTGGGGTGGGGGGCGAGTGTCCTGCCTGGTGCATCAGGCTGTCCTCAGACTTGGAAATGGACAGACTGCAACAATGCACCAGGTAGCCTCGCTAGGCCAAAAAAGAGCCCTAGGTGGTTTTGAACTGCCCACCTTGTGGCTAGCAGCCTAATTTGTAACCACTATGACATCAGGGTTCCAGGACCTACAATTTTGGAAACTCCCAGGGACAGTTCTACCCTGCCCTGAAGGGTCCCTTTGAGTTGGAGAGGTGCCCTGCTAGCAGAGTGACTAAAGTGCCCGGCTGCTAACTGCAAGGTTGTCCATTCGAACCCATCAGCCCTCCAAGGGAGAAAGCTATGACACTTGGCTTCAATACAGATTTCCAGTCTTGGAAGCCGTCTCGGGCGGTACTGCTCTGTCCAGCGGGATCTCTGTGATCCTGAATTGACTTGACAACGCTTGGAAACCATCGGGCATTGCCTTGCTCACAGTCCACCCTCTGTGCCGCTCACAGATGTTGGGTTTCCTGAATGTGTGGGTTCTGTGTGACCTCGTGGGCCTTTATAGAGCAACCCCACCCCCACCCCAGCTGCACACACCTCCCTCCCACGCACCTGTTCTAGCGCAGCCTGTGATGAGCCCATGGAGAGACTGTAGGTCTCCCTGAGGGCCAGGCCCAAGGAGAGCTGTTGACTGGATTGGGGCAGCAGCCAAGGCCGTGGCGAGGACGCTGGGCAAAGAGGCTGTGCTGCTCCTGTGACCTCTGAGGACACCCCCGTGGGACCGTGAAAGGAGAACGAGTCACCCGAATTCCGAGTGGTGGTCCCACCACCTCAGCGAATGCTCCTTGCGGGCCGACGGTGGGTTGGCATAGGTTGTGCCCCAGGGCCCAAGGATGAATGAACCCAGAGGGGCCGCCCCGCCCTGTGACAAGTAGGACACGATATGGTGTAAGTGCGAGGGTGTGGGCTCTCTGCCTCCGGTTCTTTTTCTGAAATATCAAAAACCCAAGCTCTGTGTAGAAACTAACAGACCCTGCATTGCAGACATGAGCTCAGACGATCAAGGGCATAAATCTGACCTGAACAATGAAAACTCTGCTGGACCTGATCCGGCTGTCAACAGTGTCTGTACTTTTGTTTGTTCATCTGAGGGTATATCTCAAAGGTGGTATGTTATTGGGGGTCACCCTCCTGAAGTGGTGTTATATGCGTTTCTGTGTCTTGGTACATGACATCCAGGATTGATGGACCTAGAGGGGCAGCAGTCGGACAAGGGTTTCAGGGGTAGGGGGTGTTCAGTGGTGGTTGAGGGCGGGGGAGGATAAAAGGGAGACGATGTCAAGGAGTCCAGAAAGAAAAAGGGTGTTTGTAAACGGATTGTGGTAGCAATTGTGTAATTCTGCTGCCGTGATTGAACTATGGAATGCTATGACATATGTATTAACTCCAAATTCATAATTCATTTCTTAAAAAGGCCTCAAATTCACTGCCATCAAGTCAATTCCAACTCATAGCAGCCCTATGGGATAGGTTCGAGCCACCCCTGTGGGTTTCTGAGACTGTCACTGTTTACAGGAGTAGAAAGCTTCATCTTTCTCCCAAGGAGCAGCTGGTGATTTTGAACTGCTGACCTGTGGTTAGCAACCAGAGGCATAACCTCGATGCCACCAGGGCTCCTCTGAATTGAAATTAACTCGATAAATTGAAGTTTTTTCGTTTGTCTTTAGATGGTTGGTACAAAGGAAAGTCTGAGACTAAGTACCAAGAATGGAATCAACTCCTGCCGGCCAGAGGCAACACCCAGCTCACCTGGCTTCACCCACTCCCCTTGACCCACCTCCTTAGTGCAGACTGACTTCTGCCCACCCCTCTCTGGTCCATCTCCCCTCCCCCTCAACTTCCAGACATGGCAATAGGCAGGGAGTTCTTAGCAAGGCCATGAGCACAGAAAGCCAGGGGGGATGGTTTCCCCTGCACCAGCCCACCCTGAAATCCTGTCCCAAGTAGAAGCAACCAACAGCCCCAATCTCACAGTGCTGGGGGGGGTCCAGCCCTCTAAGACCCCACCGAAGGAACACATCAGTCACCGTGACTGGACACATACTGCCCTTTTCCTGTCCCACTCCTGGGGTGTGATCTTTCTGTGTTGCTCTCCTTCCTCTGTGTGGCAGGTTACACTGAGCCAGGGCTGAGCAGGGTGAGGGTAAGTTGCCCGCCCTCACCCCTAGCCCCGCCCCACTGTGCACGGTGATGGCCCAGACGCCAAGCATTTGTCTTCCACGCTCTTGGGAGGGGCCCTAGGTGTGGGCCGTGCCCTCAGCTCTCACCATAGTCAGTGTTCTCAGGTTCCCAGCAGTTGGAAGGCCAGAAGTAGGGAGCCTGCAAAAGAGGACAAGGATAAGGACAAGGTAAGCACTCCGAGGCCCCCACAGCCCTGCTCTCCCACCACCTGGCAGGGCCAGCCTTTTCTGCACCCCTTCTTTCGTAGGCCAAACGTCCCCTGGTCTGTAGGGCAGCTGAGGCCAGCCAGTATTTCCTCGAGGTACTGGGAAATGAGATCCTAGGTCAGCCAAAGAAATATAAAAATAGGAAAACGAGTTGGCAGGGCCGAGATTTCTTACCCCAAGCCATAAACATCTAACTACGGAAGCCAGACGGCTTCAGTTTCCTGAGTACCCAAGTCCCAAGCAACTTTCCCCCCTTCAGCCCAGTCTGGAGAACTATGTGCCAAAGCTTTGGGGTTGGAGACCCCGAGATCCTCTCTTCTCATTCTCCCAGTTCCCTCCAGGCCAGGACCCAGCGCAGGGCCTGGGCCAGGACAGAGACCGGATTTTGCTCTCGGGCTTATTGAAGTTCGAATCAAGTGAAGGCGACCTTTTTGATTTACTAAGTATCTCACTCATTCTCTAATTACCTCAGTTTTCTGGCTTATCAAATGGGTCAGAATTGCCTTCAGATGTTTGTTCTTCAGGATAAATGAGAACACTGTGATGGGAAGTCAAAAAGCATTGCCACCAGTGTTCCAATTCATTCACGCATGGGATTATTCCAAACAAAACACGTTGTAAAATGCCCCCGGGATTAGTGGATGGCTGTAGACAAATTCTCCCAGTAAGTAACACACTTGTCTTCATCTCCTACTGCATCTCAAAGAGGAGGTGTGTGTGTCTTTGCTACGGAAAACTGGAAGTCGGGGTTCATGATGGATGCTGAATACAACTCAAGTGTTCCTCTTTCCAAATCATTGACGTTTGGGTTATGAGACGGCTGCCTCACAGAGACAGGGCTTTTTTGTTCTGTTTTGTTTTTTTCAGATGAGTCAAAGGTTACAAGGAAGGATAGGGAGATCTGAATTTGAGGCAGGGAGGTCAGCTCAGACGGTTCTAGGGATTCTTACATGGGATAGCAAAGGGGTAATCATGACAGACGTTCTCAAAGAACACAGGATGACCGTGGGCTCATTCAGATGGTGTTTTTAGAAAAATGGAAAACAGCATCGGTGAGAAAAAGAGCAGGACATGTGTGCTGAGGGATTAAAAATGTTTTAAAAATTTTTTACCATCAGGCCACGCATTCTCAAGGGTGGCAAGGGCTGTTCTAGGGGAATTTAGTTGGGAAATCTTACCCCATCCATCTGATGGCCAACATCTTGCTTCTTCGGCCTTCCTTTTTTGTTCCCCAAACTCAAAGAGCATTGAAAAGGAACATGATTCAAGTCCTTTAAGGATGGCCAGACTGCCCTCTTGAGGAGGTGCCAATCAAAGAGTGTAGAATTCTTGGAAGGGAAGTGTTAGAGAGATGGAAGGGTGGCCTTCGGAAGCATACAGGCCCCGATGGGGGAGATGGTGAGAAACAATAGGTCCACCTTAGGATACTTTTGTTTCATGCAGGTGTCTAGGATGCAGCACTACTTTTGAATGGTCCCTCATTTGTATACTTAATCAATAGTAGTTCTCCTTGATGGCTGGAGCCCTCTCCCTTCCCTTTTACTGCCATCTCAATGGGGCAACAGATAGTCCAGGCAAGCATTGATGTACTTGGCTTTCCCAGTGCTCAGGAGGGATAAGGGTGGTTGCTTCAGTGTTGTTTTTTTTTTAAGGCAGTTCTAATCTAAGATCAGATGATGGAGAGAAGAAAGGTCCTGTTGGAGCAGACCTACCTGGAAACGATAAAAGGTGCCATCATCCTTCATGGAGAGGACATGGTCTGAGATTGGAAAGACGTAGCCCTGGGCGGCAATCAGGCTCCCCACGTGTATTGCTTCAACTGCAGGGACAGGGCACAGGAGAAGTGATTAGGCAGCTCTTGGAATCTAGAGTTACTTAACTGATGTGCAAACTGGGAGGGCAGAAAGGGAAGCTAGCAGGCAACGGTCATCTCTTCAGACAACTATGTCTATGATTGCACTGGAGAAGGCAGTCCGTCAAGGGTTGGGAAGGGCCATCAAGCGTCTGGGGCTCCTCTGGAGCTCAGCTCTATGGAACCGCTAATGGTGCTGAAACTCCTCCAGGACATTTTAGAGAGAGTCTAGCTTCACAGCTAAGGGATGAACTGTGGTGTAAAGAAATGTGTCTTTAATGGAGCGAGCTATTTCATGTACAGTGCTGAGCTATGTCTGTCCTGTGGTATATGTTGAGTCAGGGCTGGAAGCCCCGAGTCATGCTTTAGTATGGTGATGTCAGTTCAGTGTTGAGACTTGTGGCCGATCCACCAACTGCTCTGATGGAGGAAGATGAGGTTTTCTGTTCCCATGAAGATCTACAGCCCCAGGGACCCTGTAGAGGGGCTGCTGTGAGCTGGGACCAACTTGATGACAGGGGTTTGCTTAGGGGTGTCTGGGATGATGGCGGCAGCTTCACCTCCCAGAACCATTCTGGATTCATGTTGCGTCCCCCAAGATTCCATTCCTACCAGTGAGGAGGACTTTTATGGACAGAGAGATAAACTCATTGAATCAGAAAATTGTCCAGATGGCAGTCAGGGTAGGGGGTGGGAGGCAGTCACCTACAGAGGTCCAGGTGAAGGAAATCTTCTATTTTTTGTTACTATCAACCTGTTGTGTTGTCCTGTTGTGAGGTCCAGCGTGTAGAACAGAATGGAACACAGCCCAGTCCTGCCCTGCCCTCTCAACCGCTAGTCCAGGGTGCATGGTCACAACCACCCTGTCAATCCATCTTACCCAGTCTTACTATGTCTCACGGACCCTCGACTTTACCAAGCATGACGTCCTTTTAACGCCGGCCATAAATCAATTTCGACAAATCGTTAGGAATTTATATTTGTTCCGAGCAGAGTTAATAAAAAATAAATCTAGATGGCTTCACCACACAAAATCATCTTTCGCAAGCATCTGAAGTGCTGTGACTTACAAAAAGGAAACTGATGTTTTGAACATGGAAATCACGGATGTGTCCGGGGAGCCTTAGGAATTATTCATTTCATCAGCTCTGAATTTTGTTCCAAGTGACCTGGTTGGGTTTCATTTGCTAGCTTTTCCAGGGCTGACTCCTACCTGAGGGTTCCTCTTCCTAAGAACCGCCTACTGGGTCTGCACGGCCCGCTGACTGCAGGGCCAGCCCCTGGAAGAAACCCTGCTGCTCCACAAGAGAAAGAGGAAGCTGGCTGGAAGGACTCACAGACCGGGAAGCCCCAGGGATAGCGCTATTCTCTCCTAGAGAGAGGGTCTCAGTTGGAATCAACTCAAGGCCGTGAACTTCTCTTGTTTTTGTATTTGCCCTCGGTAGAAACATACGGTTGAAATAGAGCGAATGGACGTTTATTTCACTTGCTGAGCGGAGACCCTCCATGAAATGGAAGGAGAGCGTGGCGGCCATGAGGGGCTCTGACAGACAGACACGTGTGAGGATGGTGCAGGACCAGGTGATATTTTGTTCTGCTGGGGGAGGGGTTGGGATGAGCCGGAGTGGACTTGGTGCCACCTCACAGCTTGTGTCGAGTCTGTACAATTCAAGGATCCGGGTTTCAGCACGATTTGGAAGCTTCAGTACGAAGGCTACTCCTTCACCAGGGACCCAAGTTACGCAGCCCGCTGATTCCAGCTCACAGTGATCTTACAGGGCAGAGAGGAACGCTCCGTCGAGTTTCTCGGACTGTGAATCTACACAGAGCAAACTGTTATCTGTTTCTCCTGTGGAGAGCCTGGTGGGTGTGGACGGAGTTTTCCGTTCACAGTGAGCACTTTAACCACTGCGCCACCAGGCTGTCTTTCCCAAGGGAAGGAAGAGTGAAAGTGAATCAGAAGGTGGCTTGCACGCTCTCTACCTGGGAGCAAAACTTCTCACCTCATTTGCTTAGAAATGTGGCAGATTGGAAGGAAAAAGGGAGGTGAGGTGGGTGTGGACATGCCTGGCTTTCCAGGGCTTTGGGTTGCCTCCTCTCCACCATTCTGTCCCCAGTTGGTGAGCTGTTCTTAACGCCTCCTCCTTTAAAACTTCACAAAAGCCCAGAAAATGCCAGCGATTGATGTTTTATTGGACAGGCCCCAGCATCATGAGAGCCTCTCAGGGCATCACAATGCCATAGACCTGTGGTTCTCCACCTTCCTCATGCCTGTAATACCCTTTCGGACAGTGCCTCATGTGGTGGTAACCCCCCAACCATAAAATTATTTTTGTTGCTACTTCATAACTGTCATTTTGCCACTGTTATGAATCATAATGTAAATATCTGATATGCAGGATGTTACACATTTAACATAATTAAAGCACAGTGACTCATCACAAAACACTATGTAATTATATATTGTGAAATATTTCTTTCTAATTACAAATAAATGAAATTTTGTCTTGAAGCATGGTGTAGCATGGGTAACAGTCTTCGCACCGGGTACTCATACGTGGGCATATCTGCATGTGGGCGGACCACCTGGAGACAGATAGAGGAGTGGTGTCTCGGTTCCTAAGACCATCAGAAATATGTGTTTTCTGAAGGTCTTAGGTGACCCTTGCGAAAGGGTCATTTGACCCCCACAGGTTTAGGACCTTTGCCGAAGACAGACCTTCACCATTCAAGGCCACACAGGACACCTTCTCCTGGCAGGGACACAACTTCTGGAAATGTGTTCTCATACATTTATTCTAACCACTAGCCAGTTGAGGGGGGCCTCAGAAAAAACGCTAGTCACGATAGGAAGTATTGCTTTTGTTAGCTGCTGTCCGGTTGGTTCGGACTCATGAACTATGGGTGCAGAACAGAACTCCTGCACTGGGTCTCAGTGATCTTCAAGCCTATTTTCCAAGGTGCCCGTGAGTGGGTTCCGATAGCCAACCTTTGGGCTAGTAGTTGAGTGCTCAGCCATTGGCCACCTGGGGGACTTCTCATAGGAATCAGCACCTTTCAGAAACCCAGGATGTATTTCAGAATGGCAGAGAAGCCGTGCTCGTGGAAGAGGAGACCACCACGAGGGACGGTGGTGGTGGTCATAAGCAAACCTATGAACTTGGAAGACCAGTTCACCTTGAGCCCATCAGAAGACCAAACTACGTGAAAACTAACCAACCAAAAAACTACATACTAGGTACAAAAACAAAAATAGGGTAGTTGATTTGGGTTCCATCCCTTAAAAGCACCAGCATTTACAGTGTTCCCCCTGAGAATTAAGAGCTTGACTAGAATGAAGAATGTTCAATAATCATGAGCGTCTGATAATCAAGGTGGTCACTAAACATCATGTCTGCTTATGACCGGCTTCCCTTTTCTGGTCCTCAGATGTTGCGCAACTGCATTTCATTGAATGGAATGTCCATGCTATTATCTCACAGTCAATAGTAGATTAGGAACCTTGGGTTAAATACATGAAAGCTCAGGACCTGGCACAACTAGGGGGGTGTGGAGGCCAAGGTGCAGACAGGTATTGCTCTCAGCGGCTAACTGAAAGGTGGGAAGTTGGAATCCACCCAGAGGTGCCTTGGAAAAAAAAGACCTGGGGGATTGACTTTTGAAATAGAGCCACAGCCAACCCTGCGGAGTCTAGTTTGACTCTGACACACGTACCACCATGCTGTGACTCATAGCAACCCTAGGTAGGGGAGGGCTTCTGAGGCTTTAAATTGTTGCGGAGTAGACAGCCCCCTCTTCCTCCCGAGGAGTCACTGGTGGGTTGAAACCACTAGCCTTGAGGTTAGCAGTTCAATGCTTATGGGACAGGGCCACCACGGCTTTTTTCTGGCACACACAGGGCCACCATACATTGGAGTCCACTAGATTGCCAAGGGCTTTTGTTTTCAATGGGCTTATGCAAATGATATTGCTTGATACTTAAGAGCAGTCGAAGAATGTCAGGTTAAAGTACATGGACGCCGGAGACTGACGCACTGGCCCCAGGTGGGAATCACCCAGGAAGGTCAAACACTTTCTAAAAGCATAGCAGTTTGGGGACCAGTTAATGTAATTTGGGGGAAATCGGCCTTATCACCTCAAGGTTCCCCAAGAATATACAAGCACATTCATGAATCTCTAGAACAATGACCTTCGGGTTTCAAGAATACTCCGCTATGGAAGATAAGGGGCACGTAAAATAATTTCAGAGAAGTATTAACTAACAAGACATGGCTAAGAAGCTTTACTTATCTTGAATTTTCATTTTTCTGGAACCCAACTCCCTGCACCCCCACCCCCGTTTCCTAATTATGTTATGAAAATAAAAATCACTACTTTCTGGTGGGAGGACAGATTTGGCAAATGTTTTATGGGCCAGGGTGACGTTGCTGCTTTTCTGGTAAGGTTTTCCTAATTGAAATGCACAATTAAAGGAGGGGAACACAATCATCCCTTGCCTTCTTGCAGGCGCGGAAAACAGAAGGAGTCTTAGCAAATAATTAAACATCTTAATTGTGGATCAGGCAATCTAATTTTAATAGCTGGTTCTAGGAAGCTGTTCGGTGACAGTGCTACAACTTATCTTTAATTGCCGCGCGAAGGAGAATTCATCTCATTTCACACATTATTGTATTGGGCTCTTTGGCATTCTAAATAGTTGCTCATTTCCTCAAAGGGTGATTTAAATTTAAAGTTAGCTATTCAGCGGAGAAAGTCAATTAATTTGATTCATAAGTAGAGTGAGTCCACATCTTGGAATTCACATTCACAAAACGGGCTTTGGGGGCACAGGACAAACCAATTTGGGACTTGGTTCTGGGCTAGCTATCAAGGCCATGGGCGATCAAGGTAGAGCTAGGGTCCAGTACCTGGATCCTCGATGGAAAGGTTCTTCATCAGCCACTGCACGATGTCAGTACCTGCAACGACAAAGCAATTCCAACTGAAGACGTCGTGGGTGCTTAACCTGTGGTAGAAGAAACACGTCTGTTTAAGAGACTCTCAATTCCAATTAGCGCACCCCTGGAGGGCTGGGTGATGTGGACATTTCTCAGTCCTAACCAACCTTGCCCATCCATCGGTATGCTTCCAGTCACAATCCCATTTCTTTAGAAAACCCAGCCACTGCTGACGACTCAGGATGATCTTGGATCCACATTTCTGTTGTGGGGGTTGGATGCCATCAAGGTAATTGTTGCTCAGAGGAACCCCAGGCAACCGAGTAGAACTGCCTTACAGCGTTCTCGCTTGCCTGTAATTGTTTACAGAAGGAGAGGTCCTTCTGGGTGGACCCACTGGGCGCACACTACGGTGCCTCCTGAGGATACTAGGCTTCAGTGACCTCCCCAGTCAGGTTGAGGGAACTGTTGTCCTGTGTGGCCACCAGACCATGGCTCAGGAAAGAGGGCTTTTCAGTGCTTTACTCTTACTGGCAAAGGCTGATCCGCATCGGTGAACACAGACTCCTGAGAAGATCTGAATCTCTCCTGGCAGGGGCTCATCTGAAATGAAAGCACCCCACTATCTAAGGTAGAAACTTCAGTGTTTATCAAAAGCTCTTTCCTCTGGATGATGGCTGGATCACATTTCCAGACACCCGTGTGGTTGAGTGTAAACTGAATTCTGTCGCTGGAAGTGGCTGGAAGTGATAAATACTTCGGGACCATAAAACATTATCCATGTGCTGGATGAATGCAGAGGATTCCAAACATCTCCATGGCAAAGCCACAAAATGGAAGGAGCTTGGGCCCTTGAACAACTGTGGAAAAATGATGCCCATTTTTAGCTTTGGTTGAGTTGAAAAATAGGCTTTTTGCTGTGTTACACCCTTAAAATTTGGGAATGTATCTGTTAAAGCATCTAGACTTGTCTTAAGTAACAATATTAAGAGTCAGGAGGAACTTATTAAGTTTATTTACTCTAATCTTGGCCAATAAAAGTGTTTTTTTCCCCCTGTCTGATGTCTCCTTTCACCCACTTTTCTGTTGTCTGTCCCCCAGGGAGGAGGTCACATATAGTTCCTTGTAATCGGTTCCCTCTTTCCTACCCACTCTCCCTCTACCCTCCCTGTTTCGCCACTCACACCACTGGTCCTGTAGGGCTCATCCGCCCTGGATTTCCTGTATTTTCAGTTCCTATCTGCACCAGTGTACATCCTCTGGTCTAGCCAGACTTGCAAGGTCGAATTCGAGTCATGGTAGTGGGAGCGGGGAGGAAACATTTAGGAATTAGAGGAAAGTTGTATTTTTCATCGTTGTTACATCGCACCCTGACTGGCTCATCTCCTCCCTGAGACCCCTCTGCAAGGGGATCTCCAGTGGCCTACTAATGGGCTTGGATCTCCACTCCGCACTCCCCCCCTCATTCACTGTGGTAAGATTTTTTGTTCTGATGATGCCTGATACCCGATCCCTTCGACAGGCGTGGCATTCCTATGAGGATTCTAGGAACTTCCTCGCGCTCTCTCTCTGCTTTCGTCTTCCTATTGCAAGTCACACGGAGACTTGCTGAGCCCTGTGAGAGCCTCTCCCTCTACTTGACCTTCCTGTTGAAGAGCCACACTTGGAGAGCTGGAGGAGCCACATGGAGACCCGCACCAGAACTAAGATGCTCCCACCGGCATTGGATCCCCAAGACTTTGCACCCACTGGCCCGGGATCTTCCGGCATTAAGCATCATTGCATGTGTTTAGTGAGTTTGAAGAGGCATGGATTGAGTAGTATCAGACTTATGAGCTAAAATTGAACTTGTGGACTGGATCTCGCGTGGGCTGGGATCTTTTCTTGATATACAACTGCTCTTTGATATAAAGCTCTTTCCTATACATATAGGAGCATCCCTGGATTTGTTTCTCTTGTCAACCCATCCTCACAAAGTGCTCCTGGGTCAGTTCTGACTCTTAATGACCTTGTGTACAACAGAATTAAACCCTGCCCTGTCCCGCACTAGTCTCACAATCGTTGCTGTCGTGAGCCCATTGTTGTGGTCAGGGGTCAATCCATCTCACTGGGGGTCTTCATCTTTTTGTTGACCCTCTATTTTGGCAAGCATAATGTCCTTTTTTAGGAATTGGTTCCTCTTGATAACACACCCAATGTATATGAGATAAATTCTGCCTTTTTTGTGTGTAAGGAACATTCCGGTTGTACTTCTTCCAAGATAGACTTACCGTCTATACTCCAGTATAAGCCAACCCGAATATCAGCTGAGGCACTTGATTTTTATGCACAAGAACTGCATAAAAATGTGCTGAAAAACTCAGCTTACCCACGAGCATGGACGGTATTTGTTCTTCTGCCAGTTCGTGGCATGTTCAATATTCTCTGACAACACTATAATTCAAAGGCATCGGTTCTTCTAAGGTCTTCCTTATTCATTGCCCATCGTTTGTATGCAAATGAGACAACGGAAAACCCCGCAGCTTGAATCAGGTCTGCCTTACTCCCCAAAGCGATCCTTTGAGTGTTACCACGTTAAAGAGGGCTCTTGCAGCAGAGTGGGTTGTTTGATTCCCTGACTGCTGTTTCCATGGGCACTGGCAGCGAATCCAACTAAAACGAAATCTTTGACGATTTCAAAATTTGCTCCATTTATCATGATGTTGCTTCCTGGTCCAGCTGTGAGGGTTTTTGTTTTATGGTGAGATATAATCTATACTAAAGGCTGTAGTCTTTTTGTTCATCAGTAAGTGCTTCAAGTTCTCTTCACACCGAGTAAGCAAAACTGCTTCATATGTTTAGCCTAAGTGGTTAATGAGTCTCCCTTCAATCCTGATGCCACATTTTTCTTTATAGAGTTCAGCTTTTTAGATGATTTGCCCAAAATGTAGACTGAATAAGTATGGTCGAAGGATACAGCTTTGATGCACATCTTTTATGATTTTAAGTGGTGCAGTCTCCCACTGTTATATTCAAATGACTGCCTCTTGGTCTGTGTACAGGCTCCATGTCAGCACGGTCGCTCATGTGAACAGGTTTCTGTGCAACGTCCAGACTAAGGCAGGCTAGAAGGGTCTGCAGATCAACCTCTGAGAAGCAAAGCAAAACCCACCCCCCCAACCACACAACAACCAGGAAGACAAAACAGCTACTGAAACGCTCGTGGATACCGGTGGGAAATTGTCTGAATCAGTGCCCCAAGACCAGTCCCTCAGGTTGGCAGGCGCTCAAAACACGACGGGGAAGCACTGCCTCTTCAAAGTGGAGTTGTCCTTCATGATGGGGCTGGAAGAAAGCCTTCAGGGCCTTCCTGTGCTATCATGCCACTACTCAAAATGAGAAGAAACAGTTGGGAACATCCATTAGTAATGGACTACACAAAGTATGAGCTGCAATCCTATTACCCGGGGAATCACAAATCACCCTGGCCAGCCTGTTCCAGTTAAATCATTCTTGATTTCTCTGGGTAGAAATTTGGCTCCCTCTGGCTCCCTCTGTGTTATGGGTTGAATCGGATTCCATGAAAAGATAAGCTGAGGCCCTAACTCCTGGTACTTGCTTGGGAATAGGTTCTTTGAAGATACGATCAGTTACTGAGAGGTGGCGCTGGAATAGGGTAAGGCCTCATCCAATATGAGTCTGTTCTTAGCAAAAGAGAAGGGACATAGAGGGAGTGTGGCTCATGACGACGGAGGCAGAGATAACTGCGATGTCAAAAATGCCCAGGCTGGCCATGAATCCTCTGAAAAGATCCTCCACAGAGCCTACAGCAGCAGTTCTCAAGCGTGGGCCCCGACCCCTTTGGGGGGCCCAATAACCCTCTCTCACAGGGGTCGCCCGCTTCATAACAGTAGCAAAATATAGTCATAAAGTAGCAAGGAAAATAATTGTGTGGTTGGGGGGGGGTCATCACCACATGAGGAACTGTATTAAAGTGTCGCGGCATTAGGAAGATTGAGAACCACTGGTCGACAGAGACTACAGCCCAGAAAACATGCTAATTCCCGACTTCTGGCCTTTAGAACTGTGAGAAACATGCTTCTGTCATTTTAAGCTACTCAGCGTGTGGTGCCCTGTGGTGGCATCCCTAGGAAGCTAGTATACTTCCCTCTAGCCCAGGGGTCCTCAACCTACGGCCCCGCGGGCCACATGTTTTTGCTCGCTTTGTTTTTTTACTTCAAAATAAGCTATATGTGGTGGGGTCGGTGCACTCGGAGCTGTCAGAGTGTGAGAGCGAGACGGGAACCTGGCAGCACTGTGTCTTTCTGCAGCTTCTCCAGGGCCAGGTTTTCCAGAATCACTTTGAACCCACTGTCCATGTGTGTGCCAGGTGCGGCTACGAGCTGTTCTCCAGCCGCTCTAAGTACGAGCACTCGTCGTGTGGCCAGCCTTCACAGAGACCATCCATGATGACAGCGTGGCCAAGTGGCCCGAGTGCAATCAGCCTGATGCCTTTAAGGTGTCCTGCGGTAAATACGGCCACGGGCTTGGCCACGAGTTCCTCAAAGATGGCCCCAAACGGGGGCAGTCCACTTCTGAAGATTCAGCAGCTCCCTGAAGTTCATCCCTAAAGGCAACAAATCTGCCTCCCAGGGGAAGTAAGCGGGCAGCCCAACCCCAAGCAGCCACAGGCATTGGTCACCCCCTTTAGAACTACAGCCTACTGACCTTCAGGCAGGTAGGGCTGGATGGGGGGTGGGGGTGCGGGGCGGTGTTTCCTGACGTCCCTACCCCCTGTACCAGGATGGGGCCGCGGGCTGGTTCATCTTGGCCTCCGAGGCTCGAGGCCGGGACTCTGGTCTTAGGGTGTCTGTGTCTTGAAGGACATAACTCCCTTGGCTTCTCTCCTCAGCCTGGCAGCCCCTCCCTGCCTGTCTGGTCTCACCCCTATGAGCCCAATTCCCAAAGGGGCTCCAGCCCTCACCAGGGCTCATGCTGACCCCCTAAGTTGTGTGAGCAGATGCAACCACTCCAAGGCCATG